GGCCGTACAGCAGGGCAGTTTCGCAACCGCGTGGTTCTCTCCCCGGCTTACTTCCTTGTATAAGACGACTTTCAATTTTTAGTGAAACGATTTTAGAAAAAAGTATCGTCTTATACACAGAAAAATACGGTACTTATGACTGTTTTTAAAAACAAAATAAAAGGAAAATTAACTTAAATATTTTGATAATTTTATTTTCTCTTACATTTAATACATTGATAGTATATGCAGATTTATAGATATATAATCATTTCTGAAATAAGGTTTGTAAAGTTACTTTCAAGACTCAACAAGTTGTATTGAAGGAAAAGGTAAGTAAAATGACCTTCAGTCATTTCATTTGTTTGTTTGCCCCAGTGCAAAGGACTCTGGCAGTATACAACAATAAATAAAAAAGCAACAGGGAAACCAACAATGCAATAAAAAACACCCTAAAAAGCCAAAGATAAAATTCAAGATAGATGCCCACAACCAGTCAGCTGGGGATGAAGGCTCATTGGAATACAATTACTTTAAGATGTTTCTGAACCACTAGAAACTGGAGTCCACCTGTACTTCTTGGGGGATACTGTTCCACAGAGTTGGAGTTGTCATTTTGCTCACACCTTATTTACCTTGCCAAAGAAGAACTTTCAGCAGGTCTTCTGAAAATGTTCAAACAAAAGATTTAGCTCTGGCAAGGTATTACCTAATATATCCTAGTGCTGTGTCATTTAGGTCTTTAAAGGTAATGACCAGCATTTTGAATTGGATCCAGAAGCCTATGGCAACCAATGTAATGCCTTTAACATAGTTGTAATTCTGTACTAGTCAGGTTATTCTTTCAGGAGTCTGGGTACCCTTAATTTCTAGGTTGTTTACAAGGAAAGCCCCACATAGGGCTTATTGCAGTAATCCATTCGGATGGTGAACAGAGCATGAATTACAGACATCAGCGCATCCATGTCTGGGGGGGAGGGGCGTGAACTAATATATCAGTCAAAGCTGGACAAAAAAACAAAAGCCAAGAGTTGAGGAAGAACCAACAATTCACAGATTTCCTCCTTTGTACTGAGTAACTACTAAGACCACTATCATTGAAGTGCCCAAACATATATGGATGATTAGCAACTCCAACTTATTAGGAATTAGTCTGATTTTTTTTTCCTCTCATCCAGATTCCCACAGACTCTAGACACTGGTCCAGTAATTTCATGGGATCTTTTTCATTTAAAAGCTCATACTCTCTGTGAACCTATATCCCAAAGATTTCTACAATTTTATTTTAGCTATATCAATACTGGAGAGAGAGAGATCTGGCAACATTTCCCCCTAGTTCATGAACAGAAGACTTGTTTTGCTAGGGAAGTTGAATGGGTCCAAAATGCACTTCTGGTGGATCTTGATGATAGCTCATGGATCACTTCAAGATGTTTAAGAAACAATGAACCATGTTTTAGAAACAGTCTACATGTATTTAATGTTATGAAAGGTTTTGTTTTTCCTTTACCTTTAATGATATTTACAGTTAACCATAGCTATAGTTGAAATATTTTTTTATGCTTTTTTGCTGATGCCATATGGTAAATATCCCATTTGTAACTAGCTCTCAGTTCTATTACCTAATTCTAACTAACATGAAGAGCACAGGGTTGGGATAGATTAGTGGATAGCAAATCTATTTATAGAGCCACAGCTCAACCTCCTTATTTTTCTCTAGCTTCATAATACTTTGCATGGAATCCCACAAATCTTGTCTACTGTATTAACATCTGTTTAATAGAATTCCGTGTAATTAAATGTATGTCTGCAAGCTTTATTCCTTTTACAGTTATAATTAGCAAATCATGTTGTTCTTTTTAATGAAGTAATTTGTATGTTTTTCTCACTCTTGTTTACAACCTGCAGGCTTGCAGATGGGTCAAGGGTTGTGGAGAGTGGCAAGGAACCAGCAGCTGCAACAACAGGGATACGCAGGACAAAACTATCTTTCCAGGGAGCATGGTAGAAGGATGGCTGTTAATAATGTTTCAAATACAAATCATCGGAAACACGCCCAAGGAGGAATTGACATTTACCATCTGTTGAAAACTCGGAAATCAAAAGAACAAGAAGGATTCATCAACCTAGAAATGTTGCCTCCTGAGCTTAGCTTTACCATTTTGTCATACCTGAATGCAACAGACCTCTGTCTGGCTTCATGTGTATGGCAGGATCTTGCTAATGATGAGCTTCTGTGGCAGGGGTAAGTTAACAACAGGTCATGAACACAAGGCAGAGAAGGCAATTAAAATCAAGAGTTCTTTTACGTGCTACCGTATTTTTTGTGAATAAGATGCCCCCATGTACAAGACGACCCCCACTTTTCCAACCCAAAATTAAGAAATCAG